CAATTTCAGCATCAGCTTTGGATAGACAATGCTCTGCCGTAGTGAAGTTAGGGGCCATGACTTTATTTCAAAGTGAATCACGTCCGCCACGTCCCAATGTTTTAAACATACTTTTGTGACTTTTATAGGGAATTCGCTTGATAGAAGAGAACACTCCAGGTTCTAGAACATTGTTTCCGAACAATTCACTGGAACAGGAAAATCACAAACCACCTTGGTGGAATCAGTGGAGGTTGTGCGCTGAGCAATGAAGGTGGAGTTATGTGTACTATCATATGAACATGTTGGGTGAGTTCAGCCTTTCGGACACAATATTGTAGATACAAGGAATTTTGCTATTTTCTTACAACCATACTCGGAGATCCTTTAAGCATTACCTTTTCTACCCATTAATGTATCTCGTTTCACTGTTGTCGACAACTATGTGCAGTTTTCATGCAGTGGATATGCGTTGAAAATGAAGACGACGGCTCACAGATACAGCGGCTGCTTCGGACACGCCACCAATATTGGTAAGCGTGTCTGTGTTTTTCAGCTGTCTCTAGGAATACAACCTTTGTACGGCCCGCAAATCGAGATTGGTTACAAGGTTTTAGAAGTCCCGTCGAAATATTGCTGCTCCGGAGGTACACTGATAAGAGACTTGCAGATGATTTTCGAGCTGCGCACTCACGTATCCAAGACAGGGATTGCATTTGACAAGGAGGAACATCAGTTGTGGAAGAAATATTAGCTGACTGTTAGGGCCAAGTTGATGGTATACAAATCTGGCTGGCTTGCCGAACTACCTCCTTTTGGTGTCAGCTGGGTGGATCGAGATTATCCCGTTCCAGCAAAAGGTTCGGCGGCACTATTCCAGGAGGTGGTGGGTTTTCACCTAGCACGCGTTCTCCCTATAAAAAGGCATACATGTCAGTTTAACAACACTGCGACGTGGCGGACGTGACTCTCCACTAAATAAAGTCACTGCCCCTTGCTTCACCTCACTGGAGCATTTTAATCATCCAGCTTGACGCAAAATTACTGGGAGTATTGCGCCCCTGTTTGACAGCCAGCCAAACGAAAGGCGTATGAACCGAGCAATCGGTCATCGGCTCCTAATGAGCGCGATTCCCTGAATTCGCCCCGCTGCCTTGCGAATCAGATCCCTATGACCAAAGGCTCCGGGTGGGACCCCCTAAGTCAACCACTTCCTCGGCCTGGGCAACTCGAAGTCGTATGCCCACGCAACACATGAAATGATGGATTTACAACGCACTGCTCACGTTTCTCGCTCTCTGAACTCTCTCTGTTTGGTCGGGGTGCTGGCGGCCGGACATGCTTTACCTCACTATACCGCACCGCAAACACGTTCTTCGTTCCACGTTTATTCAATCCTCCTGTTCTTGGCAACCCGCCTTCAAGTTCGCGCTTCCAAAACTGCATTGAAAATAAAACAGTACCTCCGGCCTCCTCAATTACCAGCTCAAAGTCTATTGAACACATTCCAATACCATCAGCAAGACTGTTATTGCATCCCGCTCGCTCTTCCAGCTAGGTAACTTCAACGTTCGAACGCTCATGCAGGTTGGTTTACAAGTTTTTCTTGCGCGAACATTGGAAACCCTCTTAATCGACGTTTGCTACCTTATCTAAGGCGCTAACGATGAAGTTGGCTGTTGTGGGGCGTTCCCGACTCCCGGGTTGGGGACCAAAAGACCCCAAACAAACCCGATTGCAAAAGCTGGAGGATATGGCCAAGGACCGTATGCAATAGCGCACTTGCTAAAAGACCCTTCTACTCTAACAGTTGTTTTCTATTTCAGGCTATCCATTTTTCTTCGTATGTGTTGTGGCACTCAGCCAATTCTAATGTAATTGGAATAATGATGAGTATAGAAATATATATATATATATATATATATATATATATATAATGTACCATACTTGATGCCTCTTCACCGCAGTTGGACTAAACCAACTTACACTTAAACTAGATCTCTGTAAGCTGGATAAATTTCATTCCACTTTATTTGGTTTGTTCTGCCTACCTGAATAATCTTCTATTTACCGGCCACGTTACTTACACTAATTGCGCTTATCTTAGGTAACTTCGTTGCGTTTGTAGCATTTTTAAGTGACTTGTGGACATTTTTCCTCCTCGCGGATTCGTTGCTAACCAACTTACTTCATATGCTAATTTAGGGAAGAGTTAAGCCACCGTATCTGCATGCACCTTTGGACTTGTTTTATTTCATCTTGTCGTTTCAGGTAATTGGCTGTTGCTCGATATCCTCGTTGTCGTTGTGCTTGATGTGCACGTTGACAGGGTGCCTACCTGTCTATTATCCACTATCTCGTCCATACTGGCTTCAGGAGACAGTTGGTCGTTGCTGGAGGAGACGGGGTACAAGGTACTTGTAGTCGTGCAAGGCTCGAAGAGTGGTTCCATGCATTCAGTGTGGAGCGGACTACGGTTTTGCCACCGTCTTGTGTGTGCCTGATTCCCCAAATACAGTGTGATTATGTTTGCCTGTGAAGGAGTGTGGGCCGGCTCCGTTGATGAAATGTGACTCCCATCCACCTGCCTCCCGGTCTTATTCCTTCGGGTTTACACTGGATATGGGGTGTGTGGATGGAGCTGTGGGTCCTTCTGTAGGCGCAGGTATCCTGTGGCTGGCCACAGTGAAGGGCAAATCCGAAACCGGATACCGACAACCATATATATAAATCAGCTGTACTGTCGGTTCACCTCTCCGTCACGGCACATGGGCGCTATACGTGGAGGGCCTCCACTATCTGTAACGATTCCATCGGTAATATCGTGTACATTGGTGTGGTAAATCTGGCTGAGACATGTCCGTTGTATGGATGCAACCAGGATACCGAAACACATGCTGTATGACCAACTGCATGCAGGGAAAAGGCACGTGTAGGCCAACCGACGCTGCGCTATCAGCACATAAGCAAAGCGTGATTATCACGAAATACTTTCGACTTTTTCGTTGGGACACACTGTCAGGCAGTCGCCGCCAGTAAGGTGATCACATCCAGAATGCCGTTGCCAGTGTGCATGTGAAAGGACTATTACACTAGGAAGAAAATCGCCGATTGCGCAAATGTCTGAGACCAGTGAGCCTACCTAATGCAACTGGTGTTGTAACACATGCGGTCGTGTGTGACTGCCGCGCCGGTTACCAATATGATCACGGGGATCCTATATCGAAGAGGTGAATGGAAAATTGTATGGGTAACAGCGCAGTGAGGGTACGCTACGCTGGTTTGGTAAAACTAGCTCAGGCCAATGTTGCGGCAAGTACGGCACATGTTCTGCATCGTCGGTGTCGTTGGATCGTGCACGTACCTTTCCGTGTAGTAGTATGCTGACAGTGGTATCCCAGAACTGTCTGACAATGACGCAAACGTTGACAAAGCGTCTACTTGTCGAAAATCGCCCCCCCCCCTCATTGTTGACTCCAGAAGACTGGTAATCGTTGCTGGGGGGATGTGCCCACAATTTTATTGCCCGTGCGTGGTTCAAATAGGGGTTCCATCCAGTGTGGTACTGGTCACGTTACGACCATCACATTGTATACCTCCGGGTGTGCATTCTTTCCCCGGTCTCATGGGGCTGGTATGCATTTTGAAGGAGTGTTATCGGCTCCGAATCAATGGCATTTATATATATATATATATATATATATATATATATATATATGTCACAACTGACCCATATACAGTTGGCAGTGCCACAACACATGGTTAACAACAACAAAAGGAGAAAAATCAGGTAGTCGATGAAAGGGTTAAATAAAGAAATAAATTGCCAGCTGTAAGCCGTAACGGCGCTCTGCTGCCACATGACCACCACCAGTGGTGCGTGGGCTAGTTATACCGCGAGGACGGCTACCCCTACGCGGATGCGAACCGGTGACTTTATGGTTGCAAACGAGATGCGCATACCACTCAGCCACCGGTCGACGATGAAAGGGTTAATAAAGTTTAGAAGATTTATGTGTTGTGTGGGCGGAGATCTTCTAGGTTGCCCTGGCCGAGGAAGAGGGTTGACTTAAGCGACCCCACCCCGAGCCTTTGGTCAGAAAGACCTGACGCGCAAGGCAACGGGGTGATTTACGATGACCGTTGACAGCCGCGTGACTCATTCGCCTTCTTTTTATTCGGTAGCATTCCACAAAGAAGCTGGTAGCCACCAAAGTTGTTCATCCGCCCTCCGTTAGCTACTCATCTCAGGTTACAGAAGTGAGTGATCAGTAACCATATAGTCCGTCACATTGGCTTTGAGTCAGTGCTGCACGAGTCCTCGTGGTATTTGATGAAGAACCAGGTGACCAGCCCAAAACTCCCCACGCTCTGAGACGTTGCCGCTGATTGTCCGCAGTAGTCTAATTATCTCACTTGCAATGCAAACGAGACTTATTCGCAGTTGCCTCCACAAGGAAGGCACTTCCAAATGCGCAACCTCGGGACGCGCCCGAATGTGTACAACTCCGCCACGAGCCGAATCAATCGCAGCTCCGATCCACATGCCTCCCGGTCTTATGCCATCGGTTTTACACTGGACATGGTGTATGTGAATGGAGCTGCGCGTGGTGTAGCACCAACAACTAATGGTCTATCTAGGTGGAGGTGTTCTGTAGCTTTTCAGTCAGATTGACAGGCGAATCCCCTAGTGAATTCAAAGCGAAATAAAACGATAGTCGTGGACGAGACAGCAGCAACGAAACCGATTGGCTAAGTGGCAATGTAAGTCTTTTTAGGTATTTTGTCAGGAAAAATAAAAAGGTGGTGTATATCATGAGATAAGACGTATGTGCTTAAAAAATAATAGAGTTTATCGCAAACTAACAGGTGTACAATTGTGGCACTGTGCAACTTCACTCAAGGCGTTAGTAATAGCTCGTGGAACCAATAACCAGGTTTACGAAAGTAGCAACGTCAATCGCTTGGTGACACGGTACTTCAGTAATACGTACACCAGCGCAGGTGAAACGGAAGCTATTTCAATTTGCTTGTTGCGGAACCATATCCGTGTTGGAAGGGTTCAAGATGGTGGAGTCAGGCGCAAACACGTGCTCGAACACTTTACGCCCCTGTGCCCTGTATCGCCGACAGGTATGCAATAAATCATACTCGATGACAAGCAAAACATTGCGGTCGTCGCTGCGCGTCGTATCGTCGTCGATCCACCCGGGAAGGGAACAGTTCTCTGCGAATGGCCTATCCTCTGGGTCGACTGTCAAACATTCTCCTAAACGGTTATATATGAGTGGACTGTAGGATTTTAACATCGGATTGTGTGATTTCCCCTCAGCTTGCTCTATCACTTCCAGCATGCTGCGCGCCGAGTCCGCCGAAAACGGGGGTTTTCCGGTTAAAGCGATATGGGCAATGCAACCGACACTCCAAACATCGAGTGCTTTGGTGGCTTGCATCAACTCTTTGTATGTTTTGTCATCCGAACTTTCGGTTAGATGCCACTCATTTACACTGCGTGTAGTTTGATAGGCGATGAAATTTCGCAAACGTTCCGGTGCCCAACAATCTACTATTGGAGGACATTTTCCCGTGAGACAGACCAATTCGTTGCGAATGCTTAGGTCGGGCATTATGGTCAATGACTGGGGTGACATAGCGTGAAACAGGATGTGGGACGGAGTCAAGTTACCGTGTGCCAGCTCATGGGAGTGCAGATAGCTAAGCGCTTGCATTATGTAGTGCACAATCAGGCATAAGTCACGTGCACGTAGCTGAAGTTGCTGAAGCATCCAGTTGAAAAGGTCCCCAAACACACACATCTCCGTCACAATTACGACACGGTTTGGTTCGATCACAAATTCAATTAACTTAAGCACAGAGTTGTGAGACAGAGCACGCATCCTCCCTGCATGTTGACGAATCTTCTTCGAAAATCTGCGTTGGAGAATTCGTAGTGGGAACGGTGATGGTCGAAAAAAATCGTACTCAACTTTTTTGATAGCCACTGCGGCACCGGAAGTCAGATCTCTAGCTGCGATTACCGAACTAAATCCATCGTAATAAAGTTCACGGTAGACTAGGATCTTGTCTTCATCGAAGGCGGGAGCGGTTAGGTAAATCGGTGTTGTCAAATTGGTAGCGTCCGTTGGGGTGAGCATTTCAAACTGCAGCTAACCAGGAAACATAAGGTGAGTTGGGACAACGAACAACAGGCCATAGGTAATGTAATTCTGCCGACCGCTCCGCATTCGCTGGCACTACAACTCAAGATTCTGTGCACTGATTCGCCAAGTCATGGCACGTGTTCTAACCGCCAGGGTGTGATTTGGTCAGGTACCGATCAGTCACGTGCCGGTCGATTGCTGAGTGGCTGCGTGATTCAAATAGTACAGGCAAATATCTCAGCTGATTTATCTGTCGGGTGGCATATATTATCTTGCTGAGCATTGTTCAGGTGAGAGTGTGCCCAGCGGTGAAGTGCGCATAATATGCAGATTTTGTTCTGACCCTAAAATAGGTGGAGATGCCTTTAGATTATGTACCAGCTGAATTCCTACCACGTTCGGCAACAATCTACGCAACTAGCTCTTTACTATTTAGAAGCACAACACCATCGACATAAGCTCCTATTTCATTAATGACCAACAGGTCTGAAGCGAGGCATCTTGTGGTAGTGTCCAATAAGTCTGACTTGTGGTTTGGACGAGCCCGTTGGTGTCCTTCTTCCAATAGCTGAATGTCGGCTTCCGTTGGTTGTAATACGGTAACGACAGTTCTATGCTTGCCACAATGCAGCAGTGGTCACTGTTCGCCAGAGGTTCAAGCACTCTGATCTTTTCCAGCTTCTGCTCACAGCTCGTAAACATTAGGTGCAGCCAAGATACCGAGTGCGGAGTTACGCGCGTCGGTTGGATGACATGTTACGTCGCCCCGATTTCAGTAGTCATTTTAGCGAATTGAGCCTCAACCTCGCCATAGCCGGGAAAAGCAGAACGTCTGGCCAGAATATCGTAGGTAAATTTAGATCTCCCATCAATAAGAACTGCGGGTGGCTCATGTGCTACTGTATATGTGGTAGCAAATCGCAACAGCGGTTTCGTGGGCTACGGTAGGTAAGACCCACTATTAATTCTGCTCGTCTGAGGCGGATTGTGCACCACAATTGCTCGCGTAACATCATCCTTCCGATAGGTGCTGGTAACTTTGCCTGCTAGTGACAATTAGGTGTACAACAGAACACCAGAGTGAGCTTTTGATTTTGGGTCGCATCGGAAACAAGAGTATCCTGACAACGCGACTTCTTGGGGTGACGTCGGAGTTCAGCCAAGTCTCTGAAACCTTCGGCCGCACCGAGACAGCGAAGCGGCACAGTTCGTCACGTTTGTTTATTAGGCTGCACAAGTTGGTGAATGCCACACGGAGGTCCTGGGAGGTACTGCGGAACGTATCTGGAGGTTGAGCAACCGGTTGATACGAGTTTGTACACAAACTTGATAACCCGAAAATTTACAATTTGTAAGTCAGTCTCACCTTCTTATGTACGACGTTTGAGCTCAATGACCGCAGTCTCCAAAGGATCCCTGTCTTCGGGTTCCAAGTCTCGATGGATGTGAACTTTTATGCCTTTCAGCCTTGACAGATGAGACAGAATGCTCTGCGGCATATTGTGATTTGCAAAGGTGATTCTCAGAGGTCGATCCGACTGGTTAGTTTGCTGGCCAAATCGGACTACTTGTTTAATCATCACACTCTCTTCACCCACATCCAAGAATCTATCGATGAGCCCCTGAAGGAACTCAACATCAATGATCATAACGTGTCTGTGGGCATTTATCTCCGGCGTCTGGGAGATCATGAGATTATTACTCCTCAGCGAAATCGGTGATGAACCTGTGCGAGGAGGACTAGAGGCGCTTATCGGCTTGGGTAGTTGTTTAACAGCAGGGGGTGCCTGAACTCGGTTACGTGACCTCCTGCTCTTTTGAGTGGTCCATGGATCTTCGATGCTCAGAGGTTCACATACAGGCTCTGATAAATTCATGGACTGATCAGTGAAGCGACATTTTGAGGTTCCTAGTCTGAGTCTTCCATCGGGAGGAACATTGAACCTGAGGCTCGAACGGGATCGAAGACGCTGGTGGTGCAGATGGCGGAGTGACAAGAGAAGGCGAGGTGACAGAGGTGATTTCACGAGGGCGTTTGACCCCACGTGGTGGACGGTTTGTTTCTGTCTGGAAGAGAGATTTTCGCGTAGACGTTGGCGATCGCTGTGTATTTGATGATTTGTACCACAACATTTATCACATATAACTTGAAAAACCGATGTCGGATGTTGAGATTTTTTCGAAACACGTCAACGGATAAGCCAACGCACGAAATATGGAACAAAACATTGCAGTCGAGGCACCGAAGTGCATGGGCCTTATTTTCCATAACTTCCGAACAAGAACCACAAGTAGCTTAAGATGGCATCACAGGGTAGATCAAATCCAAGATGTCCGACAGAGATGGCAGTTGGGGAAATCAATGAGATCTCTGGAATTAGCCAAAGAATAGCCAACAAATTTGCACCAATTGGAAAACACGCCAAACGAAGCATATTGGTGCACAATTCCCAGAGAAAAACACTGATAACACAGTAATCCGAAGCAAAAGTAGTATGCAGCACACAGTGATCCAAAAATCCGCGACGTCCATGGGTTTAGTGGTAAGTCCCACAAATGTGACCAATTAAGAACGATAGCAAAATCTCTTGATAACCAAGCTTTGTCTCGCCTGCTGACAAGCTTCACGCTGTCAGCAAACATATAGGAAGGATCTTCAAGTAGAGGGACCAATTCATCTATAAACATGAGGAATGGCAACGGACCGAATACTGATCTTTGGGAAACTCCACCATCAGCAGTGCCTGTGCTCGAAGTAACATCACTAGCCCGGACAAGAAAGGTGCTACCATAAAGGAATGCAGAAAGCTAAGAAAGCACTTGAGGAGGGATTCCAAACCAGGTCATCTTTTCTAACAAGAAACGGTGATTCACGGAATCAAAAGCTTTACTGAAGTCAAGGTTACACAGTTTTACTGGTGTACCTTCATCAAGACATAGTTATTTCATCGAGGAACCACAGTAGGTTGGTAAGGCATGACTTTTACTTAACGAAGCCATGCTGTTATGCTCCGATCAAGTTATTAGCAGCCAGACGTTCACAGATTCGATTCCTAATGATCTTCTCTAGGCACTTGAGAAGAGCGCTAAGCAGACTAACAGGCCTATAGTTATTGCGTGAGGATTTAATATCATGCTTATAGATCGCCACTGCTATTGCTTCCTTCCAATCCTGTGGTATCCTCTCCTCCTAAACAGACAAGTTGTACAACTCAAGAATAGAAAGCTGGAGTATGTCGGCAATCGGCTTGACGATAGTGGGATGCACATTATGAGGGCCAGGTGGTTTGTATGGGTTTAAGACCTTCAGTACAGAAAAAACACCGGAAGCAATTATGAGAACTTCGTCCATTTCGCACTTGCTTACGCGATGTGACGGCAACGGTATTCAAATACCCATTGTTCGCTCGAAGCAGTTTCTGGAAAGCACGCAGCACATCCTTCCTCCTAGCAAGGTCTCCCGCAGCGCCCAACTTCCGTGATTAAATTGCCAACTTCTCTTAAGGAGGATTTTGACTGGATGTAGCTGTAATAACGCTTTGGGTACATTTTGAGTTCTGTGCCAGCCTAAGCTCATAGGAGTATTTTGCCTGCCTCTACACTTTGACCGCCAAATTTCGACTTCTTTTGTACTCAAGAAAAATGCGGAAACCATCAGACACATGAAATCTTCTCCAATGATTATTCCGCCGTTCCAACACCCGATCAATACATCGGCACCATCAGTAAGCTTTTATCCGAAACCTAACCTGCGAATGCCCATGAACCGATGGGTCGATCCATTCCGTACCCAGTTCCGTTGAATGTTACTGTCCGCATTATCACGCAGTATACCAAGCTACGTGCCCTGCGTCTTCACAATTGACTCACCCAGCCAATCGGAACTTAGCCATGAGATTCGAGAGTTGAAGCGATTCAAAGTTGTAGGCCCGGATTGAATTCCTCCGGAGCTATTCAGATAATGCTACGTAATTAGAAAATAGCTAACCTCAGTGGGATACAAAATTTGGCAACAAAAGATGAAAATATCTTCTACGGCATCATTTATTCTTTCGCGTTTCCAGAAAGATACATGCACGAGGCGCACCAGTAGCAAAGGGCATATATATATATATATATATATATATATATATATATATATATATATATATATATATATATATATATATATATATATATATATATATATATATATATATATATACATTGTTGACGACATCTGGTTTCGGATTTCCCGTCACTGTGGACTCCACGGGGACAGCCACGGGAAGCCTGCGCCTGCAGAGGGGCCATGGGTGGCTTGGGTTGTACCACTCACAGATCCGTCCAAACACTTCATGCCCACTGCAAACCCGAAGGAATAAGACCGGGAGTCAGGTGCATGGGAGCCACGTTTCCTCAGCGGAACCAGTCCACACTCCTTCACAGGCAAAAACAAGCAAGCTGTATTTTGGAATCAAACGCACACAAGGAGGTGGCTGTACCGTATTACGCTTCATACTGAGTGCATGGAACCACTTTCGAGACTAGCATCGCCACGAAGAACGTGCACATCGTCCACTCTAACAACGACCAACTGTCTCCTGGAGCCTGTATGGACGAGGTAGTGGGTAATAGACAGGTAGGCACCTTGTCAACATGCACATCAAGCCCAGCTGCACCGGGAATGTCAACCAACAGCCAATCACATAAAATGAAATGTCAAATAAAATTGATCGAATACACTGTACGGATATGGCGCTAAATTCTCATACGAAATAAATGGACAATCAAAATAGCCACAATATATCTTGGATGGCTGTAAAAGGGATAAAGTGACATATGTAAGAAGGAAAAAGCATAATCTGTTAATCACCATTGGTTTAAGTCAAGTGTGCTATTTAACAGATTATTCACGTACACATTAAAATGAGGTAACCAAATAACACTAAGACAAGGCAGCAAACCAATCACCTGAAAAAGCACAGTACGCAAGCACGCCGTCAGTAAATCGA